TTATTAATTTGGTGCTAACAATATTTATATTCTCTTCTTTTTTGTTTAAACCCAGCTATATATCCTAACTGAATAAAGTTTAAGGAAAGATAGGTTGGTGTATATATGAGCAAGATTATACACTTTGGTGCAACAACAACACAACATGTCAAAGATGCATATTCAGCTATAAAGCATGCTCTTGAATTATCAGGGAATTTAACCAAGACCTTCAACTCTTTGGATAGATGGCTGCATTTGCATTATGAAGAAAGTTCATTATAGTATGAAAATGAAAATATATGTATCAATCCATTGTTAATACAAGATAATAAAGAATGATTAGGGCTGCTTTTAAGAAGAATATCACAATTTGTGCTTAATAAAACTTGTTAATGCAACCGAATATAATGCTTGTTTGTACGAATTGCATATTAATTATAATCTATCTTGTCACTATATGCTTCCAAAAAAAGGGCCCATCATGTTGTCAAGTATTCCAAAAAGATGGTTGTTGTTTCCTGATCAAGATTAGTCTGATTCTAGTCATGTAATAGCTTCAGTTAATTCTGATAGCTTTTTTTTCTCAAGTCTAAGCTTTTTGATAGAAACACGATATATGAGTTTTTTGGATGAACAGCAAAAATCTACCCTTTTATATAAACTTGACGATATTTTATCAATTCCAGTAGATAAACTTTCTGATATAAAAGTGCCTAAAGGAATTAAAGGAAAAGGCCATCCTTCTGGAACTAAATGATTATCAACAGCATTAGAGCATATGGAACAAGAAGAAAAAAAGAAAAAAGAAATAAATAATAGAAACAATCAAATTAAAAAAATTATTACTTCACAGAGAAACAAGTCTAAAAACATTGAAAAAGAATTAACCAAAAGTACCAGCTTTTCTCAAATAATTTCAGCACTTTATATCGAAGGTAATATTAAAAAAAATAAAATAAAATAAAATAAAAAAATAAAAAAAACTAATTATTTTATTTAAATAGATCAAGGCTTAAAGATTTTACTAAGTTATCACATTCCTGCTGATGATATAGATTAGATATATAATTCACTAAACGATGGTAATTGTGGGTTTCATGTGCTTGCTATTGCAATTAGAGGAAATGAAGAAAATTGGAATCTCATTAAATTAGCAATGAGCAATCAATTAAATAAGCGAATAGAGATTTACAAAGATTGGTTGGGTTATAACATTAATTTGCTTAAACAAATATTGGAGTTCCAAGCATTGTCTTGTTATCGTTTATTTTGGTTTCTATCTCCTGATTGTACTCAATTAGCTGCCACACTTTCTCTGTTCCTATTGCTATTTTTGATGAAGGAAATGAACAGAGTATGTTATTCTTTCTATTAAAATCACCACCAGTTCATCAAAAAAAATCCAATTATCTTGCACTTTATAAATGGAAACCATATTATATATGTAAGTATGAAAAGTTATGCAAAAGTTAATTGGCCAATAGTTAATGTCTAGCATATACCAATATATCGCAAATATGGCCTTGAAGACCATTGATTAAAACTTTTTGTATAAATTTACAAAATGTGAAATTGTCATATATGCATATGTACTATGTGTACAATTTAAACTGATCGTAATATACATTTAGAAAATTTATACATTATTAATCAATCGTTAAGACTAGGATGCCATGTGATTTATAACATATATACGTACGTACATACTTATGATGCAAGTATCTAGTGAAGTCTGGTTGTGTGAAAAAATGTAATAATTGTTAGCTCTTTCTTATATTTTCAAAAACTAAAAAATATAAACAATAAATGTTTGCCAAGATAATAAATAAAAAAATTTTTAAAGGAGCCGGCCAAGAGGCCACCTTAACACCAAAAAAAAAATAAAAAATAAAAATAAAAAAATTTTTTATATTATTTATTTATTTATTTATGCAATGGGTACTATGTATATTATATCTAATAATTACTAATATAAAATTATATATTAAAATATAATATATATTATATAATGCGCATTTTAATTTGATTGGTCGAAAATTTGGGGTGCTTATGGCGATCATCGCTGTGTCGATAAGGAGATAAATCACGTGTTGCTGTGTCGGTAGTTATCCCCGGTGATTTTAGGGTTGTTAAATAAACATGAGATCTTCCTAATTCCAGCCAGAGTCACTGACTTGAAGCTTAATTCTAGCCAAAATCGAAATAAATCGAAATTTTTGCCTAAATCAATCGAAATTTTTAAATTTTTGCTTTAAATCGAAAAAAATCACATGCCGGTGAAAATTTTGGTGGCGATCTAGAGGTAGTTTACGTGCAAACCATGTAATCTGGTACGTGTCTGTAGACGGTCCGCCTTTTGTGTGGGGGTTATTTTTCTGTCACCGCTTTGCTACTATAATCAGTTGGCTAGTATTGCCCATACTTTTGGGATTTGCCTTGTAGAAAAACTTTTATAAGTGTATTTTTCTCCGATTTCTGAAGAGTTCACTATATTTGAGTCATAAACTTCGCTTAGGGATGGTCGGTCCTGAAAAGGTTGAATAAGAACAGTCTTTTGGGTTGTTCGTCCGGTCTTGAAACCGGTTTGAACCGGGCTTCATAAAAATAGTCGTCTGTTTCGAATCATTAAAGCGGTTGGGACGTTTTTGGGCTGAGATTGGACCGAAAAACATCGGATTAAGGGGCTAAGTCTAAAGTATATAACAGTCAACTCCCTCTAAGTGCATGTCCTCTAATTGCAAGTTCTTTTTAAATGCAATAAAATAGTCTTAGCCCAAGTTGGGATTTCTAAAATAAGTACAAGTTCTT